CCCCGCGGGTGCCTCAACCGCCTGGTCACGTGGGCAGTACGGACGGGTGGGGCCATTGTTACTGGCACAAAGCCCCTCACTCAACCCCGCCCCCAGCAAGCCACGTGAGCAGGTCCCACATACTTCCGCCTCGGTAGCTGTCATGGCGGCCAGGCTGGGTTCAGCTGAGGGTGAAGGCAGACACGTGATCTCCCTATCTCCTAAGGTCACCCTTGTGCAGACAGGTGGGTCTGGCTCTGGCCGGGGCGGGTCCAGAGGGGGGTGGGGTAGAGGAATGGAGGTGGGGGCAGGCACGTGCCGGGCGCGGGGCACCGAGCAAAGTAAATCCCGGCGGTGGGGGGTCCCGCGGCTGTAACGCTGCTGCTCCCCAGCCCCGGTGCCGGCAACAAGCTGCCCCCGCAGCGCCTCCCGCCCCCTGTAGTGCGGGGCTGGGCTGGGCTTTTGCTTTCCGCGCGTGTCGGAGGGGGGCTGGACTGGGCTGGCTCTGCAAAACCAGCGCGAGTCTGGGGGCACCTTAAAGTCCAATGTGTTTAGGGCATAAGCTTTGCTGGGCTGCAGCTCCTGTCTGCAGATGCGGGCGGCTGCGGATGGGAGCTGCAGCCTATGGAGACGCTTATGCCTTAATACATGTGCTCATCCTTAAGGTGCCACCGCGCTCGCGTTGGGTTGCAGATCGTATCCTTAAAGGAGGAGTAATGAGTAGCCCCCCCTCCCACACCCTCTCCCCTCCACACGCTTCTCTGCCATAGCACTTCGCCTGTGCCTACGGCTTTCCATCCCACGGGTGCTTAGTGGGACATGATACAAATGTAATCCTGTCGACATTTTTTTCTTGGGATTTGGAATCCGATTTAAATGCTTACTTGGGGCGGGGGGGATTGGAGCTGGTGAATTCACTTGACTGTGTTGACGAATTTTTTGCATTTATTTTGCATGTCAGGTTTGATATGTTTTGAGGCTTGTGTGGGAATTTGTGGCACTGTGTAAGGTACACCTTGTTGTCCGTTCTCAATCTAATGTTGTTAGATTTTTCAGTTCCTGGGTAACACGTGGAGTTGTGCTGATTCTGCAGTTTTTGGCTAGGCTGGCCCTTTAAAGATAGACATGAATTTTAATCCTGTTCGTTCAAAACAGACAGGTATAGACACGATGCACTAAGGTTTCATAGATCATTATTTTGGAGAGATTGAGAGAGTAAGAGAATACTAGGGGGCTGTGCCCACCTGCCTGCCACACTTGCCAACCTCCTCTCCCCCCC